TAGAAGCACTGTACAAATGAGTGATCAGAGATCAAATGAGAGAGGAGTGACCAGAATAGAAGCACTGTGTAAATGGACTGACCAGGTTAGAAGCACTGTACAAATGAGTGATCAGAGATCAAATGAGAGAGGAGTGACCAGAATAGAAGCACTGTATAAATGGACTGACCAGGTTAGAAGCACTGTACAAATGAGTGATCAGAGATCAAATGAGAGAGGAGTGACCAGAGTAGAAGCACTGTACAAATGGACTGACTAGAGTAGAAGCAAAAGGTTAAAATATTAAATAGCTCCAACGCAAAGATAAATTTTTCAACTGTGTAAATTGAAAAAATTGTGCAAAAGGCTAAAATATTAAATATCTGTAATGCAAAGATAAACTTTTCAAAAAAGTTTTGTTTGCTTTCAAAAGCAAATAAAACTATTTGCTTTGCAATTATTTAATAATTTACTTTGACAAAATTTTAATTATGAAAGAAAAATCATGAAAATAAAAACTTATCACATAGAACAATATCAACGATGAAATAATTATTATATATCTCGAAAAATTCTAAAGAATTAAATTCGATTTCACTAACAAGGATTGTGAAGAATTAAATTCGATTTCACTAACAGGTATATGATGCTACTTTCACGAATACATGAATTGCTGAAAGATGTGATAAACTGTATAAAGGATTGAATGATCGTTTGATTGATCATTGCATTTATCTTCTATATGTCGAGATCGTTAACCATGGCATTTGTCTAAACGATTTTTTGTTTCAATTCCTTGGCATTTGTCTAAACGATTTTTTTTTTGTTTCAATTCGATTTTTGTTTCAATTTATCAAATGATTACATGACCTTTGATTCATACATCGAACAAGTTTTATGATTTCATTGCTCAAAGAATGAACTATCCATTGCATCAAGTTTTTATCATTACCGTCCAATAAAGGAGTAACTCATTTGCTTTCGGCATTATTTAATTCTTTATACAGTTTACTGCATCATTCAAATCAACAGTGATCTTACATGACCAACATTCTTCCGCCATGCGATTACATACTGATCAGAGCTATAACTCAATCAATTTGCTTTCAATTTTCCCATTCAAATTTAGCAATGATTATTTCAATCTTAGGTAATCATGAAATCTTCATGGCTATATTTGTTATCTTGTATTATCGCTTAGTCTTCCACGACGAATAAATCTTCAGAACAATCTTTGCCTATTAAAAAAAAAAAATTATTCAATTAAAAATTTTTCACAGCATGGATTAGTTATTAAATTAGGATTGAAAGAATGAGCGTTTTGGAATCGAAATTCACTGAATAACGGTACTTATCTTATTAGATTAAAATCAAAATTTGTTCAATAATTCATCGATCGCAGTAAATCTCAATCTTTGCCTTGCCCTAATTTTGAATCCATCAGTGTTTCAATTCATTTTCAATAAATTTGTCCATGATAATTTCATTGCCAATACAAGCAGATATTATTGAAGTTTATTAATTTTACATGCTGATACATATTTACATCAATTAAAAATTTTAATGTATAATTAATTGCTGTGCACTTTTTTAATCAGTCAGTCAAGTACTGACAATTTAATGTTCATTAAGAACTTTCACTCAAGGAAATTGTTAATGTTTTGCGATTAATTTAGTATTTTTAAAACACCAAAGATATCTGAGCTGATGTTTTTCTACTACTCTCTTTCACATTTATTTATTTCTGTTTAAATTTATTCATTAAAAGTTTTTAAAATTTCTTTGAGTATTCAATATGTTGTAAAATTAATAAATTTGCAAACTTATAAAATACTAAATTAAAAACAAGATAATTTGCTGAAATATACAATGGTAAGGATACGATCAATTAACTGATTGCTAGAAACATACGTTGATATAATTAGAAATCAAAGCCACTAAAATTAAAATTTTTAAATTTTTGAATTTTTAGGACAATGCTGTTACATGTATTGTTATTGTTACTATTAAATAATGAATATCATAGTCAAGCAGAATTCACCAATCATTTCAATTATTTCTTAAGTAAAAATTATGGAATCAAAACGCAAAAACTTCTAGAAAGGCTCGACATGGGTCTTCACTATTGGGGAAGTTTTGGTGGAAAGCTGAATGAAAATGACCCCATAAATAATAGAGTTAGTTTTTTTTTTTGCTGTATATGCAAATTTTTAGCAATTATGTTTTATTATCTAATTGATATTTAATTTCAAATTTCAGCCAGTACTTTTTGTGCATGGAGCGCTTTCAAGTGCTTTCATGTTCCTGAGACATTGCGAATACTTTGTTTATAGAGGATACTCTCGATCTGAGCTTTATGCTACAACATACGGTACTGGTTTAAATTCAGCAATTTTCGATGGTGTTCATTGCAAATTCATCAAACAGGTACACAAACCATTTATTATTTTCTCACTAAAATGCAATTGCATGCATGTACATGCAGTCCACTGATATGCACGTTCCCCTCGATGGTTTTTCCGAATTTTGATATGGTTTATTTATTATTTTGATCGAATTTTAGTGTTTTTCAATGAAGGATTCTTTCTTTTTTAAGTTGCAAAGCGATATGACCTGACCCTTTTCATCGTGACAAAATTCGGTTTTTTCGTTTTCTCGTAAACAACACATTTACATTTTCATATTATATCTGAATGCGATTATATATGCTAATAGTGGATGGAAAAAATCGATTTAATAATCGAAAGTGTTTTATTTTGCATATGAGAAATTCTTGACAATGTTAGCAGTAAATTTCAAAAATGGAATTTTAGATACTTAGATTACAGTCCTACTGTAATTCTTAAGACAGTGACATGAAATTTTAAATTCAGATCCGTCAAATGTTAATAGCTGTGAACAATTATACGGGGAAAACTGTTGATGTTATTGCGCATTCCATGGGTTCAGCGATTTCGAGGAAGGCTATTCTGGGCTCTTTTTGCTTTGATACAAATGAATGGCTTGGCACTTCCCTCACTCGACTGGTACGATCAGTAAAGTTCTTCGATTATTTATAATCATATTATAGTAATAACTAAAATTTACAATTTTTGTTTAGTTATCCATTCAATGAATTCAATATATTTCAAACTTAGCCAGAAATTTGATTTATTTTAATACATTTCCATTTAAATATCTGGGGATTTTATTACTCGGAATGTTTTGGAATCCCACTTTAAAACGCATGCGATTCTTATAAACTTTCTGCATGCTGCGTTACTGCTAATTTAATTTCTGTAAGTATTCATAATGGTTTTATTTTCCTCTGGAAATTTAAATCAGAGAATTTGCAGGTAAATACATTTATAACTGTTGGTGGCACAAATCATGGAGTGCAGTTTTGTCCTTCATTTATCTCTCTTTGCGGTGGCGCTTCATCCTTACGTTGCAGCTCCAAGCTTATGGTTAGAAAAAAAAATTAATTTCGAGCGATAAGGTCGTTTACTCTGTCTTACTCTCAACCTTTTTTTCTTGAAGAGTGAGACTTTTACAGTTGCTCAGGAATAGAAAACTCTAAAATAAATATATCATAAGATTAAGTACATTCCTTAGCGAAGTATTTATCGAGTATATCATGAAACTTCACCTTCCCTCATTTATATTTCATAAAATTTCAAGTTTTTCAAAACCTACCCATCCAATCATGTTCATGACGAAATAGTCCAATACATTAAAGAACAACTCACTTCCTAGAATTCCTTACCTGTCATGATATTTTGTCGAAATTCTTCAGAAAGAATTAAATTCGCAACCTTATCGCTTCGAAGGACGCAGTTCTTACGATATATACAGTCTCAGCGATTCGATCATCGGCCTTGTCTGTTGCAACAAACTTTGTGGTGTCTTACCCAATCATAATGCATCTTTTTGGGTCGCCAACATGAACCATATTGCGATACTAACAGAAACTATTACGTTACAATTATCACTTCTGAAACAAGCAGACTGAAACAAGCGCAGCAGGCAGAATAGATTATACCGATTCTAAAGATTGTATGACATACATTTAAAATGAAGTTAATAAAAATATATATTGTAACAAAATAAAAAATCATCAAAAATTGTTTATTGCTATTAAAAGAACAAGTTAGCATACTAAGGTCCAATCTGCATCTGAAACTGTTAAGTATTTGCCAATTCCATTTAAATATTCTATACACCGCTGATGTAAAATGTTCAGCGAGATTTTTGCTTTTATTTTTCGAATTTCTTTTATATCTAAATAAAGTACGTAATGCAACACTTTTACCAAAATTTTTTAAATTAATTATGTTTCAACCCACGTTTTTTTTCTGTTTTAACTTTCCGAATTTCTTAAATTTCTATAACATCGAATTATATGGTTCAATAAGGAGCAGAAGATAATGAAGGAAGCCTTAAATTAAATATTCATGAAATCTTAAATATTTTAATAATTTCCAAAAAAAGAACTGCAGTCTGCAGAAAACGTGAATCTTTACAAACACTGAAATTAATTGATAAAACCTATTGAAATCTGTAATTACAAATCAAAGTCGTAATCAATAGTTATACAGTAAATATGTAATCAATTTTAGACAACGAATGAGCTTGCATCAATCTTAATGATTTAATCCTTCCATTTTCTCAAGCCAAATCCATAGTCTTTCCAGTAGGAAATTGGCCAGCGATTTGCGCGATTTGTTTCAAATGGTGCTGGGTAATCCTAAAAGAATTCTTTTTTAACTGAAAAAAGTTTCATTTTCCTAAATTCTAAAAACTTTTTTACTGACACAAATAAAACCGTCTTGAAAAAAAAGGATGATGAAAAAATGCAGTAGAAAACTCTTAATTCAACAGTTCTGTATTTGACTGTTCGAAATCAATAAAATTTCAAAACCAACTTCAGGAGGTCTCCATTTTACGGCAATCGGATCATCAGGGCGTACGACATGGTAATACTTCCGATAATAAGGCATGGCTGAAAATTACCGAAGATAAAATCTAGCAGAAAATACAGCAATTAAAACAATGCTTTATGGAACTACTGAAATCAAATAGGAAAATTGAAGTAATTCTAAGATCCGCACATTACTTGTTGCATTAGAATACTTTAACATCGTAATGAATCCTTACTCGAAAGCATAACAGCAATATTATACACAGATACTGAAACATGATATGCGAAACTTTAAGTCCTTTTATTCTTCATTTTATAGTGACCGATATTATCTATACAAAGAAGAAAAAATTTGATGTAAAAAATACAAAGCACGCAGATCAAAAACAAGGACTGGAGAAAGTAACACACTCCTGTTTGATGTTTGACGAACAATTTAAATAGAGATTTATGTAGTGCTACCGATAAATAAAATTGAATAAAGTAGTCGGTGTGTCCTGGAACAATACAAAAGCTAACCTATCATCTCCCAACAAAATTTAGTTCAAAGAAATACTTACAATCATATCCTGCGCCGTACTTCCAGATATCATACATAACTATAACAGTCATCGGCACAAAGCAAAATACAACACCAACGAACTGAAACGACCTAATTGAAAAAATTGGTACTAACTACCTGATAAAGTGTAAAAAGGCTGTCTTGTTTAAAATGATAGTATGAAATATCCTACGCGAAATAAAATACAATATTGAATAACTGATAACTTGCCTTACTGTAAGCAAATATTTGCGTAGAATAAGGCAACGAATAAAGCAATTTGATCAATTAAATGCTTTTAAACAATCGTCAACAACTATCTACTGTGTAATACGAATGATGTACAGATCTGTGTCTCATTATTAAGTATTAATATATAAAAATATAACTGTTTCAGAATAATTACAGGGAAATAAAGACGAAAGTTTGCTAAATTTTCAATTATATGATATTTTTTATCTATCGCAGAAAAAGTAAGCAGCAAACATCTTACATGTAAGGGCCAATTATTCCATACCCAACGAGGATATGAGCGAGCAACTCGTGCTATCCGTACCCATCTTGATACTACCATTTCTGGAACATGTCACTTCACAAATTGATTTATATGAAAAGATACGATAGAAAAACCAAGTATCACCTTCCAATAACATCAATTTTGATAATTGAAAAGAATTAAATGTTGAAATGTGGAAAAAAACATTGAATGATATCTTTATCACAGCAAAACAAAGACTGATATTACACACTTTAACCTCATTTTCAATCCCTACCTCTTCAATCATGTAACTATCAAAGCCCTCTCACTCTCTCTCTCTCTCTCTCTCTGTCCTTATCAATCTCTGCTACACACACTCTCCATCTTCTTTTTAGTCACTACCACTCCATTTATAATGCACGTTCTCATCTTCTAACAGCACAATCTCTCTAAACTCTCTCACTTTCTACATTTCCCTATAACTCACTGTTACGCCTCCACCATACTTTAAATTCTCTTTCTCCAAATCTTTTCGAATAACTCGAAAGAACTCGTTGTGTGCCTATTCTATGCGACGATTCATGAAATTAGTGGTTCCTTCGTGCCATGCGGATGAAAATCATAGCCTGAGGGTAGTAAAGAAGCGGGTGTTAACTGATTGGTAAGTATATTCTCATTTTTTGTGCAATGCGGATGATAAGTTGTGTGTAAGTGATCATAAGTATATCACTAAGATGTATATGTTATTTTTGATCTCATTTAAGTGAACAGCAAAGAATAAAATTGTTATGGGGGAGAGATTGTTCATTTGATTTACTTCAATAGTAATATTGTGCAGTACCATTTGATAGTGTGACAAGAAAATGAATGTTGTAATTGGCATTTGTTTCAGGTAATTCAACTAATCCTGTCTTACATGATTAATTGAAACAAATCTAACTTATTATTGATTGAATCTGCCGAAAAGCATGACAACAACAACAGACCATGCTACTGATATGGGAAGTGGTAAGCTAAGTGGCGGAGATAACGTATATAGCTGGAGGGATGCTCTACCGGCTCCGATGGTTCCGAAAAGTGAAATGAACGTATGGAGTGTACTTAAAAAGTGCATAGGAAAGGTAAAGAGCATTTATTTGTTTGAACATTTTCTTCCACTTTTAATTTTATCTTTCAAAATGATAAAAAAGACACATCTTTATGTGCAAAAAGATGAATATTGTAGGATAAAAATGTCGAATATTTGGTTAATGTGTTAGAAATTCTTCAGTTGTTATTCAGTAGCAGTGTAACCCGTTAAGGCTTTTCAGGATTTAACGCGAATTTCTATTCCAATAGTTTTTAATGAACCACTCAGTTTCCTGCAGCGTCTTGCCGAATACATGGAGTATGCCGAATTACTAGAAAAAGCAAATAAATGTATAGTTGCCACTGAAAGATTTGAGGTAAAATAATTCGAGTATATTTCGAGAATACTAATAGTTTACTTATACTTTTCTCATTTCAAATCATCATGAAAATTTATCTCTTAGAAATTGGGAAAGAAAAAAGAAACATTTGCATTTTGTTTGATTAATAAAATTGATATATGATTTATTTTTTGTGCAGATGTGTTTTTGAAAATTTTGTCCGTACCCTGAATTTGAGATGGAGTCATAGCGTGATTATATTAAAATTTTTTCACAAGTTTGTCGGAAATCAAACAAATCTGTTACAGTATGTTGCTGCATTCATTATTTCATCACTTTCTTGTAATTATATGCGATTGTCGAAGCCGTTCAATCCTTTGTGGTTTGAAACCTATGAATTGGATCGGTAAGTTTTGTGTAAAGATGTATGTGAAGAAGAAGTCTTTATCATTCAATTCAGTTCCAAAGAAAAAAGAGCTGTAGGATTCCTCTGTATCGTTACAATCAGTTTTTAGGAAAATTTTATCCTCATTTTAGGGGATAAAGTCTTAGTGGATCATTATAAGAATGATATATTTCAAGCTATTAGTCGCTCAGTAACTGTGCGATAGAATGTACCTTTCTCTTTGTTCACTGTGTAAATAAAAGTACTCAGTCGAGAAGGGATTTAGAAAGTAAGGGTTTGTATAAATTAAAAAAAACTCTTTCTTTTTCTGTATTTATGCATCCATCTTTCAGTTTTTCAGAAGTGAAGAAAGTGGTTATCGCTTCATTGCCGAACAAGTAAGTCATCATCCGCCCAAATCTGCTTTTCATGCTGAATCTCAAAGCTATGAATTTGATGGTGTTGTTTCACCACGATTGAAATTTTGGGGAACGTCTGTCGAAGTACAACCGTCAGGGAATTTTCAGTTAAAATTTCTGAAGTTTGTTTTTTTCTTCCATTTTTTTTAATAGTTTCGAAATCTTAAAAGATGTAAAATGGTACTGTAAAAAAATGTAAAATGGTCTTATGTAAATGGTACTGTTAACATTCTTCTCAAGAAATTATATTGTTTGGCTTTTCTAATTTCTACATAATTCTGTTATTTCCTCTACAGTCATAATGAAACTTATACATGGAAAGCAGTGAATGTAACGATTCATAATATTATGATGGGACAAATGTACATACAATTGGTAAGTTATGTGCGATTATTTTTTAATGTATTTATTAGATTTTTCATAGCTCCCTGCACTCAAAACCGAGATAGTTCTTGTCACACACTGTTTTGTCTTTACACTTTTATCAATTTTAAAAACAGTTTCGTGAACATAGACTAAATATTTTTCCAGGAAGGGAATCTTCATATACAATGTAATACAGGACTCGAGTGTAAGCTGTCTTTTAAGAATAACGATAGTGGGCGTTCGAGGCAGAATACGTTCTTTCAGGGATTCATATCAAAGCAGTTAGTTTATGATTTTCAATTTAAATTAATAAGATAATTGTTGTCGTGTCTTTTATCACCTGAAATGTCAAATTATGTTTGCCTATTTTAAATCTTGGTTTCAGAGAAAAAGCTCTAAGAGCAATTTACGGGAACTGGACATCATTTCTTTCCACTTGTGAAATTGTTAATTTTGAGTTTCGTTACAATGATTGGTTGGAGATTGGCAAACAGTTCTTCCAAAACTGTTCTGCTCGGGTGGGCTTCATTTTTTAGTAGATTATCATATCATTTTTATATTCACATATTTTTTGAAACAGTGTGGAATAGCCTTATATCATTTTACCGGAATTAATAAAATAGAAATTGCAGACAGATATACCCTTAATTCAAGGATCAAAAGTGATATGGAAGAGTCGTCCTCGACCCTCGAATTCATCTGTGGTAAACATTTTTTGAAAATTGAATTTATTCAAGTTACTACAATAATATTATTAGTTTAGGTTTTTTTTGAGGTGATTTGTTTAAAGTAGTTCATATTCTTTCCAGTTCTATTTTCAGATGTATAATTTTACTTCGTTTACATTTCTTTTAAATGATCCATCTGACATAACGGACTTGCTACCTCCAACCGACAGTCGACGAAGACCCGACATACGTCTATTGGAAGCAGGTCAAATAGGTTGGCTTTTATTTTTCAAGAAACTTATCACAGCTCAGATTTTCTCGATATCTTATTTACATTTTATGCAAATCAAAAAATGAAACTTGATTTTATAAGTGATATGCTTCTGCAGTTTCTGTTGTGAAAATGTGGATTGATTATTGTTGAGATTTATTTTCTGTTGGGAATTGTATTAGAACAATTTTAATATCAAAGATGAAATGATCAGTAGTTGATTTGATGATAACTGGAAGTGGAGCGGAATAATCATACGGGTATTGAAATGAATGAATGTAGAGACTGTTCCCTTGATGATATATTTGACAGTTTATATGCTGAATATGAGGTGATACCAGGATAGTAGATAACGGGTAACCCCAGGGTCAGACATGTTGGGGAAAGAAGCGATGAGAACAAAGGGTTAGCTACATTTGTTACCATAAACATAAAGGACATCATTTTTTAGAAGCGGCTGAGAAAGAGAAAGAACGTCTAGAAGTTAAGCAAAGACAAGCTCGTGCTTTAATGAAGAAAACAAAAGAAAAATTGCCCAAGTAAGTTTAAAATTTTATAAAAAAAATAAAACATGGTACCGTTCAATAGCTATCATATTTTTTCCTAAAATTTGACCACTTATCTGCAGCGGTAAATCTTGAGCTTAAAATATAATTCGCAAACACTTGTTCGATCCTGACTTCCATATTATTTTGTAGATGGTTTAAAAATGTGCATGCAATTTCGAAACATCAGCTGTTGTGGATGTTTACTTACAAATACTGGAATCGTGAGTATTGTGACTGCGAAGATATTTACTGAAGCAAATATTTCAAATAATCCGGTGTTGAAACGAGGTTGAAAGGTTGAAGGGTCTTCATATAGTTCGTAGTTTTGTGTTTCAATGATCATTTTATCCAATTATATTTATGCTGAGCAGCTAATTGGAATGATTAGCAGTCTCTAATTCAATTTCAAATTCATATTGTGTATGCAAGCATTCATTTTGATTTATGTAGGCTTAAAATACTACATTTATTCTTGTTTAGCGCTCTTTGTTTGCTCCAATTAAGTTTTATTTGATGGTGGTTTGTTAGTATTAGATCACTATTTTAGCTGTTTTTATAGTGACAATTTTTTATCTTCGGTCAGATTCATTCCATCACATATACATTTATTATAATTTCTAACTGCTTATGATAAATTCCAAAATCTTTCATTTGCTGTGTTTTTTGAATTATGAGTTTTTGATTATGAGTTTTTTTACTTGTATTTAATTTCGAAACTGCTTTATTTATTTCAGTT